TCTAGTATTCCAGCAGCACACGGAGGCAGTTATGCCTGAACCGTTCCATCTCCGAAACGCTCGGGGGTACCTCAGGGTTCCGAACTTCGAAATCCATTTAATGTCTAGCTGAAAGGTTGAGGAGGCGTTTTTCAATCTCGTGCGGTGTGTCGAGAACAAGGATCATAATGTCTTCTACTGATTCCCATGTTCTTCTAGGCGTGAATCATCAAGGTTTACTCGATTCCTGAGCATCATAATTGAATGAGCTAGACATGGATTGTCAGTGTCTTCCACGTCAAACTGTCGTCTTGAACGTCCACCGTTTGCAAGCCAACGGCACAATACAGAAACCTGGGGTATATAGTGCGCCGGGAACACCTGTCCCTACATCTTATTCTTCAAGCTGCACGAGACCAGTTCCCCCCTGGGTCTTCTGTGCCTCGTACCTCGGCCCTAGTACACAGATACTAGTACTCAGGTTCAGTTCCTGAGGCGGCATATTCCTTTACTGCCACTCCACGGTATAAAAGGACCCGCGAAGCTTCCGGGTTATCAGTGAAGTTGTACACCACTTCCCTCCTGAACTCGAACCCGCATCCCAATGTTCTTCGTATCATTTGGTCTCCTCATCCTTGCCGCCGTTTCCGTGGCTACGCCTACTCCTCCGTCTGATGTCAAGCTTTGGACGGGAGAGGAGGCACTTGCCGCCGGTCTTCTAAAGATCATCCCAGGGCCACCGAAGGTATGCATACTTTCTCAGTGAGCTGCTGATATGCAATGGATTTGACTAATGCCTTCCTAGGGTCTTGCCAGCTTGAACCCCTCGGTCAATGCCACGTTGGATCCCCGAAGTGCCCAGGCCTTTTCGAACCAAATTATTCTTTGGGTGAGCAAATGGCCAAATTTCATTCGCGGAAGAGTTCGTAACTTATGAAAAAATCATAGAACAATACATTTCCCTCGGGAACCGGTTATGACCCGGGGACCTTTGGTCAAGGCTTCTTCTTTTGCGTCGACCTGACTCTGAGGGATACATTCTTTAACAACTTGGCTTTGAGCTTCTTTGCTTCCACTGATTTAAGCTGCAACTTATTCCTGTGTGTCCCGTCATTGATCACTGTGCCTTCTCATTTCGATGCCTTATTGCAGAAACGCAGGATGCACTGGCACTGGAATTATCGATGCGCCGAGGGGCGACTTCATCGCCTTGACTGGAATCTTGTATGTGTCCTCTTTGAGACATTTTTTTACAAAGTCTGAATGTGAAATTTACAGCGCCAGTTCCATCACCTCATTCGCTTGCGAGTTTCAGCCCTAATCCAACAAGCCTGGAATATTCCCAATCAGGACCAACGGCCGTCTGGAGTCAATATTTTCTTCGTTTCATCTATTACTGGGGATTTTCAGCAAGGTTAAAAGTGAAAAATTATTAAAAAAACAGCTTGTTTAGGTTACGAATACTATCGTGGATTTCCCGGTGTCAATGACTTTACTGTGGTGGTTATCCGTTCAATATCTAACTTGAGCCTGCGATAGTTCAGAACGTGACAAGGGTAAGAGAAAGAAAAGCTGGCTCGTTTCTCACCATGGGTGCTTCAGGGCACCCACCTCCTCCATACACATCCCACGGAGCGCCAACCTCGGCCTAAATCGAAAACTTGCCTAAGTACCCTCGCTGAACTCACTAAATTGTCTCGACTTCAATCGATGCAGAGCACCTCTCCTCTCTTCTTTCCGCGCCGCCGATGTCGTCCCGACTGGTACATCTCTCTTCGCATTTGCGGTTGGAGCACGGCCAATGCACGGCAATGTCAAGCAATATGACCGGCGGAGTTCTACAATTCTTCGCTAATCAATTTTAGAATTTTATTCTACAACCGCCCGGGGGAGCCGACTTGTACTGATTGGAATGTTCTGTTTACGGTGTCCGCCAACTCAGGCCGTCGAGCGCGTGGGGATCGTAATAGTTTCGAACGATCACGTCCTCGCACTTCGCACTGCATCGGGCCCGCAGCGCTTTGTGTCTGACAATGCCTCCATGGTGTCGATGCCGCGGTAGGGTTTACCACTCTTTTATCTCTCTCCCTTTTTCTCGTCTTCCAAACAACGAACAGCACATACCTACTGATTATTTGTGTAGTTCACATTGTCGTTGTTACGCACGTCGGTTTCATGTCTCCTATATAGTGTGTTTGTTCGCCCAATCACCTCACATCCACATCGCGTCTCTATACATATACTCTATATCACTTGCATTGTGTCCTCTTGCAACATGGCGCTCTTGAGTGTACAGAGGCGTCGAAGCCTCCATAATGGAATAGGACATCTCGAGAGAAGCGGGTCAAATTATGTGGGATTTATGGTAATAATCTTGGCTACAAGTATAAAAAAAATGAAAGCTCCGCAAGAAAGATGCTGTTGATACACGATGATGCTTGATGATTTTACAGTGGACGAAAAATAGACAAAATGCAAGTTCACTGCCCAAAGCTGCGCGTTTTGCGCAACACCGGGCTACCCTCCCCGACCACAGTATCCCGGCCGTTGCGGGGGCTCAATTGGAGACGGGCTTGAAGATCAGGGGCCGCATGGAGCTGAAAACCAATCAGTCGCTAGGTCGGAGTAATTCGAGAGGAGCAGGAAATCGACGTACGTGAGCAAGCTGTCCACGCTGAGATGACTTGTTCAGCGTAAGCGCGGGGCGGTACTACGCATTCGTGTCAGATGATTGAAGTATAAAAAAGAATCGACGCACCGCGAACGCGGGCGCCAATGGGCCTCCATGCCCGCCGACACCACCGCCGCGCGCACCAGCCAAGCCGCGAGGAGAACCCGCCGGAGATTCCAACTGTTAAACGCAGCGCAGTCCCGTTAAATTGTTTGTGCCCCAGTGAGAAGAGGAGCCGGACCTCGCGCAGGATCCCGCCCTCCGCCAACGCGAATGGAGCACGGAACGCCCCCGGTGAGATAGTGAGCGGCTACACATCAGGATAAACCATCAGCGAGAGAACGACGTCAGAAGATGTAGACGCAGATTAGGGCCCCCGCCGGGATGGCGTCGAGCGACAGCTATACCGTCTCGTCAGAATATTATCGGAATCCTCTCGACGATTTGGTGCGCACCTCGAGGGTTAGAGCGAATCCCATACTACTCCGGCCACCCACCCGGAGCACTTGAGGCGGGAGAGGAAGCCCGGGCGAAGACTCCGGGAGGATGCCGCTCTGCATCTTTTTTTTGCGGGGCGACGGTCAGCTAAAACGTGAACTCCAGCGTTCGAGGGAAATCGCACCCATTCTTGCTCCCAGTCGTAGATATCCTCGTGGGTGTCCTCGGTACTATTCGGGGCGACCATGACCTGAGCACTGAAGCGCTCGGGGGAGCTCTTCACCTGGATAGTCGACGCAAATAATTGGCGGCTCGAACGGAGAAGACGAGTGCATACGAGCTCCTCCTGTTTTAATGCGCCAGCCAATTAACAGCCATTCTTTGCTAATGTGGGCGAAGCGTACCTGAGAAGGGGGCCGGGGAACTTCGGGTTGAGGAGATGTCTCGGCCACGCCCTCCCTCTCGAACTCCTTCTCCTGGGCTTCGCTCTTCCTCTCGGGCTCCTCCTCCTCCTCCTCGGACTCCTCGATGCTGATCTCCGAGTCGGACTCGTACATGTTGCGCGGCTGAAATTGGCCTGAGTCAACATGCTCGAATGGGATGTCGACGTCAGCTCATGCTTACCTGAGGCGGCGATTGGATGAAGACTTGGACTGCACGGGCGTTATAGGCAAGTTGAAGATCTGCGCATAAAGTTAAGCACCATATCAAGTCAAGAATAGATAACGCACCAGCCGGGTAGCGTTTCTTGCTCCCAGGGTTCACTGCCGGTTTCCGGGTCGAATCGCTAGAAATATGTTGGCCTCTGCTCAGGTCTCTGCGAAAAGCAACATACGTCGCCATGTATGCCATGTACGCTCTCCCCCCGACTTCAAGAAGCGGCGCCAGCACCGGACCCATCCGCCTCAGGAACCTGGTGTCGTCGCACCCGAACTGCTCCCAATATCCTCCCATGATGATGGTGAAGCCGCCGTCGACCCGGTCGACTTGATTGTCGAGGAGGCGGGGGTGTATCTCCTGCAGAACGAGCTTCAGTACGCGGTGGGCAAGGACGGCGTTGCGCAGTGTCTGGCAAGTAGAGCTTCTGTAAGTTCCACTTCGGCTGTAGTGAACGACTCTTACATTTAAGAAACCAAACCCGACGGTTTCCCTCTCAGACTTCCCCGCAGAATTGAGAATACCCTCCCCATCTCGTGTAAAATCGCCGTTGGTCATCGTTTTCTACGTCTAATTCAGCCTCACCCCGGGTGGGTGCAAAGGTCCACCACGTCGAGTCGGGTAGCGCGGGAAGGGGGGGGGGGGGGGGGATGCAGGTGCGACTGGCGACATACGCCTTAAGGGCGTCAGTAACGGCGTTTGAAAGCTCGTTTGGCATAGTGGGCAGGCGCCAGAGTGTTTGACGCGAGAGTGAATGCGCGACGAGGAGTCTACAAGCTGGCGAGATGCCGGCGAGCAGATGAGGGGAAAGACGAAAAGGCGTGATTGCCTGATTGGGTTGCACCGCCACTGACGCGTCGATTCTTCCTTGCCCATGGGGAATCGAATCTGATCCGGAGCCTGATTAATTTTGATTCCGTAACTTGACCTCATTCAACTCTATTCAACTCGTACTCTCGTTGCATCCTTACTTGGATATACTTTGTGATACTTCCGGCTGCGTCTGTTCGATATCCTTATATGATAGCATAAGTAACCCGCTGTGGGCTCGCAAATTTGACCGTGCGGCGTGTTCACTTCAGAAGAAAAATAACACAATTCAATCCCTCACATCCCACCCATAGTGAGTCGAATGGGCAAGTAGGAAAACTCCCTCTGTTGCGGCCAAACAGAATTCCAGCGGGATAGATGCTTGGCTGGGAACGCATCTTGCCAGATATATATATATATTCACCATATTCCAGCCTTTCAGCATGTCACCGTTGTTCAACGGTAGAACAGCCCCCTCCGGATTTATTTGGACGCTGGGGAGGTCGGGGGTTTGATTCCTCCCGGTGGCGCAACAAATATGGAGCCGGATCCTCTGGGTTGTTCCCGTCGACCGCGAGACATCCAGTCGTAGTCCCTCCTGCAATACTGGATGTCACCCCAGGGTCTCCCTGGATGTTTTTTGTTCTTCTTGTGCTTATTTAATTCATTTTGCCTGCATTTCAGGAAAGCAGAGGAAGAGAAATTTGAGAGAAACAGCTTTTTCTCCATCATTCAGCGGATAATGGATTTTACGGCGCAGACGGCGCTCGTTACAAAAGAGACAAGCTGGACACTTGGATGACAGGACAACACACAAGAGATTCATAACAATTTATTTCTTCCACATCCACATCGCCCTTTCAAGCCACCTTGACGATCACTTTCTCGCCGCTGACCTTGTTATTCCTAAGCAGATCCAGGCCCGTCGCGACACGCTCCTTGAACGTCCCCTGGTCCAGCAGACGGACCCGATTCGGCTGGATGAGCCCCGCGGCCAGCAGTTGTGGCAGTATCTTGGGCATCAGATTTTCCTTCATATACTCGTTCTGCACCTATCCCCGTAAACTCGCTGTTCCTTATCACACAAACAATCGAATGCGACGCACCTCGCGGTAATTGAACGTCCGCACATAGGCAATCTTGGTCTCCGGCCCGGACGGATTACACCCCTCGGGGGATGGTGGAGTACATCGCCGCCTCGCCAACGGCGACGAGATCGCCCTCCTTGATCGGCAGCAGGAGCGCGACAGCGCCCTGCGGGCTGAGCACCTGCGCGATCTTGGCGATCGTGCCCTCCGCCGTGATGGCGTCGAGCGCGAGCGCGATCTGCGGCCCGCCGGCGGTGATGTCCGCCGCGAGCGTGGGGCTGGCGTAGTCGACGACGCGCGCGGCGCCGAGCGCGCGCAGGAACGCGTGGTGCTTCGGAGACGCGGTGGCGACGACGTTGGTGTAGCCCGCGGCGTGGAGGCGCTGCACGGCGTACTGTCCCGCCGTCGAGCCGGCGCCGTAGATGAGGATCGGCGTGGCGTGGTTCAGGGGCGAAGTTGTTGCTGGGAAGCTGGTGGGTATAGGGAGAGAGAGCTGGTCAAATAGGGTGTAGAAGGCTGTTACGAAGTTATCGGGGATGGTTGCGGCGGTGTCTAGTGGGAGGTTGTCGGGCACCTACAAGTGAAGTCAATGAGCGTATAGATAGGTGCGACAGACCTCCATACCTTTGCGCACAGGTGGTCGGGCAGCACGACAAACTCCTGCATCGTCCCCTTGAGCCCGTCCTCGAGACCGCGCCCATACAAGCTGAAAGCAGCGACCTACAACAACCGAGACCAGTCAGCACGGTAGAACGCGCCACGCTCATACCCACGCACCCGATCCCCAACCGCAACCGCAACCGCCGTCACGCCCGCGCCCACCTCCGCCACCGTCCCCGCCGCATTGAACCCCAGCGTGACGGGGTGCTCCGCGACGGTGTAGCTCTGTAAGCGTTTGCCGGGTTTACCTAAGTATGAGTAATCCAATTGCTGGATCCCATGCTACGCAGGACGACCATAGTTTCTGGGCGAAAGCTGCGCGCCCTGCACTGAAGCGAGGCGCTGAAGAAAGAAGCGGCATCACGATCTAATATCAAACGCCCGGGCCGGCCATGATGGCTTTGTTCGGCATCCCGGCTCTCATTCCTTCTGTAATCCGGTGGAAGATGGTATGCCTCTGCAGGCGGCGCTCGGTGCTCATCCCAGATCAACTTCAAGAACGATATTTCGCAAGGAGTCTGGGCCAGTCTGCACCTGTCGACGCAGTCACTTCCGGTCAGGAAAGATTTTCTGGGTCCACTTCCTCAGTCTTCCTGCTGCAAATCAAACGGGAGAGGGTCTCTCCTGATCTCCAGCCCCCAAACTTACGGCACATAATCTTCCGTTCGGACCGAACATCTCGGCATTCATATCTGGTGATCTGGTGGTGAGATGTTTAGCACAGCGCTTTGGCCAACTACTTCCGACGTCTTCCCGCTGTTTCGGTGTGCGCGCACATCACACAGATTAGCAGCGATATATCTCGCCGTCCATTCGTCAAGGTTGTAATACACCCTCCAGCGACCATGGCGTTAACACCAGCGCGTAATCTGACATCAAACGCCGAGACTTCCCTAACTGCGCAGAGGTACCGGGAATAACTCTCCTTCTTCTTGAAACTGAGGCTTTTGACTAGTTCACATTTGTTCCAGAATGCTGCCAACTTTGAAATCGTCGGGGGCCAATTTGTTTTGGGTGATGTACACAACCACCTGGATGTGGGTAAAACCTGTTATTCGCCGGACTTCTTATCTCATATGGGCTCTGAAATTCAGCGCGGTCGAGAATCAGGTTTACTTTCAGTGAACACGACGGATGCGTATGCAGACAGCGAAATATACTGTAGCCAGCTACTGCGGCAGAGGCGCGGATTTCCGCTCTACAGCCCAGGACCCCAGAGAAATCTTCCAGAAGAGTATCAACAATGCGGTGTCTCCATCGGCGATGTCGGTTGTGTTACGCCAGAAGGAATATTCGATTTCTTTTTCAACATCTACCTTCCCGCGGACCATCCCATAAATGCCAACGACGTTCCTGAGGATTTCTCCCCATTGGCGCCATATGCGCGAAGAGATCTATTTCGTGAAGATTATGAGCCAGGGAATTGTGTCTCAACTCCCTCTGTCCATCTCGACTTTTCCTCTGAGTATGTCTGTAATCTTGCATGTGATTTTTAACTGATGCGAACTTTAATCCTCACAGAAACGAGTTTCCTGGAGGTGAATTCATATTCCAATGCGAGGCTCCGCATGGCGCTGTTTTAGCTCTGCCACATGGTGCACATCTGGAAAAACTCAGGAACCTAGGGGGTATGCGACAATACGCAGGGCAAAATGCGGAGAGCTGGTACAAGTATGTGAATGGTACGCAGGGGCGGGGGCGGGGACTTACGAATGGGTCTCTGTACCTCGTCACTGGCCGTGAAAAATCACGATCATGGGGCATGGCGTCTTTCTCTGGCATCCGGGAAGAGGTCTTCCAACTTCAGTTCAAGCCGACCGAGGGCGCCGACACAGCATACAATTACCGTTGGAGGGGCACCAACGCTCACATAAAAAGCTTCGATTCCTCCCCGATCGATGCAACCACTCTTAATCAGACGACGTTCATCCATGGATTATCGATTTCACTTGGAACCGGCCTTTGGGGAAGGTTATTCGGAGATGTCAAGATATGCGAAATTGTGGATTATCAATTGGGAAACGCAGCCGGGAATTCTGCATCACGTTCGCAGGGGCCATCACTGTTCTCGTGGTCCTTTAGCTCTTTGGGGGCGGGTTCAACAAGTGGGGGAAACACCATGCATGCTGAAAACGAAGATGTACTTATTTCGGATTTTGCTTCGATTTCGAAGGCACTATATCCACAATCGTTCGCAATCATTAACTGACATGTTTTAGATTTTTCACCCTGCAGAGATAATTAACAACTACATCCTTCAAAAGGTAGGATGTGTGGTTGTGTCGTTACAGCTGAACCTCATACTGCTGCCCATCTAGTCGCCACAAGCAACAGTGGTCATGTCCCATGATGATGATTGGCGCGATATCCTTCAAGATGTGGGTTCCTCTCCCTTTTCGCCTAGTTTCCTGTCTTTGATAAATCTTCGCCGTCAGGATCATGTTCAACCAGCAGAATTGTTACAACAGATAAACGAACAGCTCAACGTAATGGAGAAAGACGGTCAGCTCTTAGCTTCGGTGTTAGATTCGGTGTCCCTGACCCCGGACCCCAGGCGTGGCGTTCCTAGTGTCCAGATCCGAGCCAAGTCATTTGGATGATACTGGCAGAGAAATGAACAACGCACCGTCCGCGCCGCCGAACCAGCCCCCGCCGCCCGCCGCATCGCCATCCACGCCCGCCCCATCTACCCCATCCACACCCGCACCCGCACCCGCACCCGCATCCACCTTGACATCGACATTGACACCCCCACCCCCCGGCCCCGGCGAGCCCATCCTCCGCCCAAACCGCAAATCCATCGACCTGCCCGGCCTCAACACATTCACACCCGCCCCCCCGCCCGCACGCCGCATCTCCGCCCGCATCGTCAACCGCGGCCGCTCATGGCTCCGCCGGGCTCGTGCCCATCCGCCGCCGAGGAGTGCCACTATTGCCATACCTGCGAGGAAGACAGGAGGCACGGGGAAGGAGGGCGGCGAGACGGGCTATGGCCAGCATGTTAGGGAGAGCTTTGCCAGGAGGAAGGCAGAGGCAAGGTTAGAAGAGCGGCGAGAAGGCGAGGGACGGGACCGTGAGGGCGAGGGTCGCGGCCGCTCGCCCACCCGGTCACCCACCCATTCACACTCGCATTCGAGTAGGAGTGGAAACGCAAACAGAAGCGGGCACCGCGAATACCGGGACCCGTCGCCGGCGAGGCAGGCGCCGGAGAGGGAGCAGTATGAGCAGCTTTATGGGGCGGGGACGGCGAGGGAGGGGGCCCGCCTACCCTACACGCGCGAAGTCGTGCTCTCTAGTATCCCGCTCACGATCGGGCCGAGCGCGCTGATCGGCGGCGCGGAGGGTGACGGCGAGTGGGACGCGGAGGACGCGGTCGCGGCGGTGGTGGAAGAGATCGTTGGCGCCCCGCCCCCGCCGGCGCTCACCGCCGTGCCCATCACGTGGCGCGGCCCCGCCGTGGGCGTGTTCCTTATCTGCTCGGGCGACGAAGATTGGATGGAGAGGAGGGTTATGGAGCGCGTTGGGTCGCCCACGGGGCCCTTCACGACGACGATCCGCCTCCCGCCGGGGACGCACCACTTCCGGTTTATCGTCGACGGGCAGACGGTCGTCGCGCCTGCGACGGAAATCCCCAACGCGGTGGACGACCAAGGGTTCATCGCGAACTATGTCGTGGTTCCCGGGCCCGTCGCGACGGCGCCGCCGAGCGCTCCGGCGTCCGCGGCGGCGAGCAAGCCCGTGAGCCCGTCCGCGGGCTTGGCGCTGAAGAAGCGGCGGCCGAG